AGCAGGCAGCGTGCTTGACGTAGGTCTGCGCGGTAGCAGCAGCAGACGGCACAGTAGGCAGCAGGCAGTAGGCTACAGGCAGACGGCGCGCGCAGCGCAGCACGTCACAGGCACAGGCACAGGCGTGGGGTAGCGGTAGGTGGGCCCGGAAAAAAAAAAACGGTCCTACGGACCTACTGCTCTGAAACCATGTTAGAATCTAGAGACAAGGATGATGCATTGATCAAGAGTTGGGTACATAAGCTAACCCTAACATTGGGTTGTACCCCATATGGGCTACCCCACTAGCAGCCTACACAAACACAATATGCATAGTTTGACACATACAGCTAGTGTAGGCCCAGCTCCTGCATCCATCCCTCTTGCCCCCGCCATGGCTGCTGACGAAACCACTGATGGTGACGACGAGGCACGTCGTCACCTCCAAAAATCACCCCCGCGTACGGGCCTCAGCTTTCTACAAACCCCCGCTAAGAAGCTGTTAGATCCGGAGCCCGTAGTTGCTTCAACCGAGGATGAAGCCCACGTGGATGAAGCGGGGCGAGACCTGCGGTCACCCGAAGTTTGCACTACCACGACGGAACCTTCGCCTCCAGAAGCGACGGCTACAGAAACAGAGACAGGCGATGCGGCTGGCGACTCAGCGAACAAGAAGCGCAAAGAGTCAATCGATGGCGGTGCGAAGCAGTGGTGGCGACAACCGAAGCCCTCTTCGAAGCGGTCGGCCCGTCCAATCCGACGAGTGGAGGACGCGGGAAGTGACGACGACGAAGATGAAGACGGCCTGCCGACTGTCGAAGAGATGGCCCGTTACCCCGAGATCGCTTTCGCTAAAGCGCATAAGCGATTCAAGACGTCGGACCAGAACGGAGACGCTGCAGAGCACAAGTTCGTGCTTCACGAGCGCAAGATCCCAGGCCATACGACTGGCGGGGACTACTACTCCTGCAAGGCAGTGTGCCAGGAGTTTGCGAGGGTCTGCGTTGCCCGACTGGAGTTCCGCCTGGAAGACCTCAAGGACCTGGCCGGCTCCAAGCTTTTCAGGCCGTCGTGCTATACCGACGACAACGAGCAGCGGATGAAGAAGTGCCGCGAGTGGTTGCGCATGCTTGACCGCATGTTTCACCACCGCCTCTTTGGTACGCCGCCTGGTTGTGCCTGCAATTTGCTGTCTGCTCTGTGTGTGTGGTTACCTTGGTGTGATGTTAAACACCACACCTCCCATACGCCCCGATCGCCCCTCTCACTGCACTGCTCTCCCATCCTGGCAGGTGTGTGCTTCAAGGCGTGCGAGAGGGAGCTACCGTTGTTTCTCCACACCATGGACACCAACCACGGCAACATGAGCTTCCACAAGTCGCTCTCGCTCATGCTCCAGTCAACTGACTGGCGGGGAGCTTACCCGAACCTTGTGCAGCTGTGGCAGGCCGTAGCTGTGCTCCCCCTCAGCACGGTGGAGTGCGAGCGTGGCTTCAGTCGCCAGAACCGTATCAAGACGTGGAAGCGGACCTGCCTGGGAGACGCCAGACTGGGCGACCTGATGACTGCAGCTCTCCTGCCCAGCGATGGTCTGAACTGGGTGAATGTGGTAGCCGTGTTCAATGCCAGCAAGAATCGCCGTCCTGCCCAGGAGTTTCTGTATTGAGTTGGTGTGGTATTGTGCTGGAACCATGTAGTCGTGCTGCTGTTATTGTTCTAGTTGTATGCATGTAGATGTAGTTCTTTGGTACAACAATACATGTTGGTAACACCCTAATGGTACAACTCCTAACCGAGGTGCACAGCACACTGACGAGCAAGAGTAACACTGCAGCCAACACTTATAAACAAGACTGACATGGATGCCCCACCCTTACTGAAAGACCAGCTTTGGCAAACTACCCTTTCGACCAAGAGTGCTTCCAAACCTATCCAGAGGCCTGCTTATACGGTAAGACACCCTAAACCGTCCAAAATACAAGACAACCTACCCAAGCATTTTCGCCCGTGTACGAGATAAGACATACCGTATACAGTATGTCTTCTATCCGGGTGCATACAGTATTCTGATGGAGCAATTTTTGTCCAAGTTTGTTTCCATACATTCTTGCTCTGTAAGTGAATTTCATGGTCAACATACTGTATTACTGATATGGATGGATCCAAACTGAAGCCAATATTCAACGCCACACCAGGACAAGTGTCAAGCTGCTTGACGCACAATCCCATATGCTGGAAAACCAGTCCTAACCCCAGGTGTAGGCTTGATTTCAAGATCCGGGCATCTAGACATGAGAAACGCAAGGCAATGGAAAGATAGTGGGACACCCCACAAGTTGAGTTCTCTCAGTTGCATACAACCTGCCACCACAGCAAGAACTCCCTTGTCCGTTACTTTACGACATCCCCACAAATTCAGAATCTGCAGGAGAAGGGGTGGACAAAAAAACAGTTAGAGCAGCAAAAATGAGATGCATCAGATTGCTTCAAGACTAGCGGGCAAGAAACCAACCTCCAATGATGGGCATGAATGGGCGATGTTGAAGATTGAAGATGAGGTGACACAGGTTCCTCCCAAGTTTAGATGCTTGAGCCCCTTGCACTTCACCACCTGCATGGGTGGAGGAAAATAAAATAAAAAACAAATCCTCAGTCTGCTTTCACACACACGTGTATGCATTAGAAGAAGTAGCATTGTACCATCGGAACCAATAGAGCAGTTTTTGATGGCCAACAAACCTGGTGGCATTCATTGCAAGTAATGGCCTGATTAAACAGGCCTCATGCCCAGCAAGTACGAGATCCACCCGATACGTGACTTTGTGGTTAGTTCCTGTGTCTGCATGATTACTAGCCAACATACCCCTCAGTTCATAAGCTTGTAAAACTGTAAATGACATGCTGTATTACCTTTGTCTGGAAGAGGCTTACCAGTCGGCAGATGCCAGCATCAGAGACGCCCTTCACACCCCACAGAGATAATGACTGAAGTTGGCAAACAGGCGTAGCCTTACTGGCAGCCTCGAGTGATGCATCTGACAACCGGCAACCACACCTGCACAAGTAAAACCACAGCAAGTTTTAAAACTTTAGCTACAACGCGACTATGTCCACACTCGAGCGGTTAAACGGATCAGCAGTTCACAAGAGTTGATGTTTTTGACCGCGAATCCACGTACAGGTCGAGCTCTGTGACGACGCAAGCCATGGGAATGATCGACGGCAGGGCGACTTCCGGATTACGGCACTTGGCGAAGGTCAAGCGCTGTCGATTCCCCCACAATTGCACTGCTGCACTGTGCCAAGACTTCGAAACTCTGGCGGCACTGTAACGCGCGATGGGGGAGCAGAGGGAAACGGGATCGTGTAAAATGACTCGTGCGAATCGCGAAACGAGGAGGCGGGAAGTGAGAGAGAATTCGCAAACTAGATAGGTTCCCTACAACTCGCCTTGCAATATCATGATACGAGCGAAGGTGTTGGAAGCAATGAACCAGAACATCTTCGGGGAGTTCTGGCGGCTGTTTGTAATCGGCATGAAGGTCTTCCGTGGATGTTTCTGCACCATCATCGACATCGTGTCTCTCTGACCACCATGCTGATCCATCATCTCTAGGATTTCCCCAATCTAGCAGCCGCGCCAGAAGCAACTGCGCCATGCGTGAGGCTACACACCCAGAAATCTATACAGGTTATACAGCTCAATTATGTACACGATAGAAGCCAATAGACGCTACTAGCGGACCATGGTGCTCGTGCTGCTTTGGACCACACGCGTGGCAGACAACGGTCACGAAACACAGACCACTGGAGGCCACACTAGGTTAGAATGACTGCAGAGACAACGGTCGTTATGATACTCCAAGCCTTAGTGATGCTAATTTCAACTTCAGTTCCTACAGCCTGCGCTACTAGTCAATCAAGATGCTCCTAATCCGTGGCATTACAACGCATAACCCTTCATTCTACTTTATTCCCTTCTCACATTTCTTAGACTAGCTCACAGTCCTGTGCCGCTCGCAGGGAGGATCCTTGTCAATTCAGCTTTTCACAGAGAAGTCGTCCTGGTTCCTTGCTTTTAGTGGGTTGTCGTGACAGTTGTGAATGGTGGTGGATCGGGAGATCACGTGGAAGCCTGGGCAGGAAAGGCTGGCGCACGACACACCGCTGGATGGAAAAAGCGCCCAGAATTGGCCAGTGATTACCGAGGTCGAGTCAGCAAAGAGAACGCCGATTGGTCAGGTGAACTTCGGCCAGTAATGTCAGCCCCTCTTTCGTTCGCGGGCAGCATAATTTGTCCAGCGCTGCGCAGCACTGACTTGCGTGCCGAAACCCAGTCTCACCGGAACTTACAAGGGGAAACGCGTATTTAGCTTTCCCGCTATTACGGTTTGAATGTCAACGATAACAATTATACGTGTACGTAATTCAAGATGCCAAAGTATCCCTTTTTCCGCACCACAAACTGCACATCCCCCTCATAAATTACCTTGCTGGTTAGGAGCACGCCTGTACATCAACTTCGCCGCCGCGTCAGCCACTTGAGAGCACGATTTGTTTAGGCTTCTTAGCATAATATTTCCCGTAAGTTTTCACTCACCATGGGCGGGTTGTTCGGAGATTTACCTCCGCCTTCCGATGCGGACAAGGCCGCTTCGGACGCAAATCCTTCCGCTGCTTCCGCTTCCGCATCGTCCGCGGGTCGTCCGAAGCTATGGTCCGCCAAAATGACTCCAGCTGCGCTGCGCAAGCCCTCCGCTGCGACGCTCTTTGCTCCGCCAACTTCCGTCCTCCGCAGTCAATCCCTTTCGGGGTCCAGTGCGGGTTCCCCGGCGGCAAAATCGGCTCGGTTGCCGGCCCCGCCGCCGCCGCCAGTAAGCTGCGCAGCTCCGCCCGGCGGAGCAAGCGGCGGAACCAGTACCTCCGCAATTGTTGCCGCAGCTGCCGCAGCAGCAGCTGCAGCGGCAGCAGCATCGGGTCTGGGTCCCGATGCTGGAGGAACGGAAGCGCAAGCAACGCCTATGGCAGTTGAAACCGCTTCCGCCGGCGAGGCTACTCCCCCCTTCCCTTCCTCCTACTCTGCGCAACCTACCCCTCCTCACGCCCCCGCCTACCCTCCTGATCCACGTTTCGCCGCTCATCCAGGGTATCAACCACCTCCGCCCCCCTACGAAAGTGCAGCCGCGGCGTATCCCCCGCCTGTCCCCCCCTACGGTTCCGCTCCTCCCCTCCCCCCGTATCCCCCCCCGGCCTCTGCCCCTGCGCCTCCACCTGCGCCTGCACCTGCGCCTGCGCCTGCTCCCCCTGTCCTGCCGCCAGGTGGCGGAGCCGCATTGGTTGCTGCAGCTGCTGCGGTAGTAGATGAGTACGATCCGGCCAGACCTAACGACTATGAGAAGATACTAAGGGAGAGGAAGCGGAAGGCTGCTGAGGAGGAGAGGCGGCGGGAGATGGAGAGGCGGAGGAGAGAGGAGGAGGAGAGGGAGAAGGAGCGGGAGGCAGTGCTGCAGCGGCAGAGGGACCTTGAGCTCGCAATCAAGGCTGAACGTGAGGTGGGTGCTCCCGAGAGATACACTGAGCATGGGTCGCTTACATGTGTTGGCATAGCAACTCACATGAGCCAAGGCAAGACAAACAGAACGGTGCTGGTGGTGATACAGCACATTTTGCTAAGCCATTTTCATGCAAGTGCATGTCTTATTTCTTCATGGCGCTTTGGCGTATGATGAAGCCCTTCCCTCATGTTAATTAGCACCTGAACCTGAATGAATCAGCACCCTAACCTTCACTCAGACTTCTCTGTCTGCTGTCCTTCTTTCCTGCAGCGTGCAGCAGCAGCCAAGGCAGCAGAGCAGGAGGGGGGTGCATCAGCATCACCAGCAGCAGCTGCAGCATCTGCTGGCCCGGAACGCTCCCAGCTGCGCGTCAGTGGGGAGGAGGCCTGGCGCCGCAGAGCCCTGCTGAGTGGAGGGGGAGCAGGAGGGGCAGCAGGTGGAGGACTAGGAGCAGCGGGAGGAGCATCGGCAAGCCCACGTGCGGCGGAGAGATCACCATCACCTCCTAAGTGAGACTTTTGAACGATTTGGAAGCAGTACATTTGTTTTGATTTTCTTTTCATGGCTGGTCATGGCTGGTGACTGTTCATTAACCAGCAATTGCATTAATTGTTCAGTTGCTAGCCCGTTCAGTTGCCAGCTTCTTGAAGTGATAATGGCATCTCATGGCATCAATTTTCAGCTCTGGCTTTCTTGAATACTCAACTCGACTCGACTCTGCTGTTACGCTCGACAGGTCTGAGGGGTTTGCCATGCCTAAGAATTCTGGCGATGGGTTGACAGCAGCAGAGCGGATGATGATGAAGATGGGATGGAAGGCTGGGCAAGGGCTGGGTAAGCAGGAGCAGGGTATCACCACTCCTCTCATGGCAAAGAAGACCGACAAGCACGGAGGAGTGATTGTTGCTGCCAAGCCACTGAAGAAAGGGAGTGGAGGGGAGGGAGGGGAGAACAATGCTGCTGGTGCTGGGGGAAAGAGAACGAAACTGGGTGGTGTGGCACTCAATGGGCCTCCGTCGAAGGTTGTCCTGCTACGAAACATGGTATGCTCCCTGCACTCCTTTTCCAAGCACGAGTACCCATGGTGGATACAAGCAAAATGGAATATATCATCTTGATGCTGATTGTACTGGTTTTGTGCTCAGGTTGGTCCTGGAGAAGTGGATGAAGAGTTGGAAGAGGAGGTGGCAGGTGAGTGTCTCAAATATGGCACTGTAACGCGGGTGCTTATATTTGAGATTACGGATCCTGCATGTCGACCAGTGGAAGCCGTTCGCATATTCATCACCTTTGATCGGACGGAATCAGCCACCAAGGCTCTCATCGACCTTGATGGAAGATTTTTTGGTGGAAGAACAGTACGGGCATGCTTCTTTGATGAAGAAAGGTTCAATAAAAATGACCTAGCGCCAGGTCCAAACGAGCCTGCTGTTCCCGACTTTCAGAAGGCCTAGGATCTCAGATTTGAATATTGCTTTCTGTTCTGGCTGGGTGGGTGGTTGTATCCTCTTGAGTAGATGTGTATAGAAAAAATTATCATTCTCACTTCTTGATAAATGGCGTGCTTTATTTCTGTGCGAAACTCTGTACGGCGTACGTACAATCCACCCCTCCAGTACAGCGACGCGCTGAGGATCCCTCATGAATGCGAACAGAGCTCATTTTCGTTTCTCCTCATCCAAAATGTTTTTAGGCTTCAGGCAACCTAGGATATTTGGTTGTTGCCATCCCAAAGACAAACCGACTCCAATATCAACTAGCTGGCACTTGTGCCGCTCTGTCATGATGACTCCCGATGAGAACGTCTTAAAGTCTGTGGAGAATAAGGAGGTGGGAATGCAGTTTGGTGATCCTATTGTTAGGTGTTGTGTTCGTATGGACTTACACTCGGATGCTCTACAGCCAAGAAAGTCCACAGTCAAGGATCTTGCGAAGAAATTTGACATCAAGCCTAATTTATTGGTTCAGGGGCCCAAGGTCGTCTCTAGGCATTATGATGTAAGAATCTTTCTGCTGCAAGCAATCCACCATTGCCGCTGCTCGCCTGAATACATATGTAACTGACAGGACGCTGAGGGAAGGCTGACCAAGTCAGAATTGGAAGAACTGAAGACTCGTTTGGAAAAACTTCATCTTCTGCTGGATCCCAGCCAGCGTGATGAAGTCGGCTCAATCTTGGAGATTGTGAGCACCAAAAAAGTGCATGGAGTGGCTTTCAATGCAATAGTGGGTAAAGCCGTACTTTTGTTTCTCAGGTTGGCAAGGCTTTGCGTCGGAGGTCCAGCGACCGCTCGGAAAACAAATGGACGGAAATTTCGCTTAAGTCAACAGACCTGCAAACCCAGGCTAGTGCTATCGTGTTATGGACGAGGGGAGCCTTTTTGTCAAAGCTGTGCTAATATTCGTTGACAGTTACAGGGAGATGATGATGCGCTTTTATCCCTGCTCGCATCAAAGGGGGAAGAGGTTTCGCGTCTTAAGGCAGAAGTGATGGAGCTCAAGTCTCGCATGGTGGGCGAGCGAGGGATTATGAGATACGAGATTCAAGGAAGTGAGGAGCTGGGGAGCCTCCTGTTCGTGGTTGCATTGTCTGATGATGTGGCGCACCCATCCCAGTGCAACATTCGCTGGTATCGATCCAGCAAAGATGGGAGGCATACTCAGCTTATCATAGGTATTGCTTTGTCATCATACATTGCCAGCCATTCTCTTCTTTATCATTTGGACTGCACTTACCTAAAAAATAATGCATTTGCAGGCGCGGAAGGGACTATGTATGCAACCGAGCCTGAAGATCTGGGCTGCGTCATTCAGGCGGCAATTGAATCATCGTCAGCTTGTCAGGGAATCATGTTTCTGACAACAGGGGAGATCCAACCAGGTCAGATAACTAACGTTGAGATTTAGACAATGAAGCCTGTAGCCGAAACTGACTTGTGTTTCTGCTTCCAGGGAGCATGTACGAGACGCTACTGGCTCAGACGGTTCTTCTTAATGACGTCCAGTTTTCGGTATGAACTCTTTTAGTTGCTCTTTGGTTCGTGTATGCAGTCAATTTGCAACTAAATCTTGTGTTCAGGTCGTCATTTGCAACAATGATGGGAGCACAACTGCTAATGTAGATCAGGCTCTGTTGCGAATCAACAAGGCGCGGGTGAAACTAGTCACCACCTCAAACTCGTTGATCAGGAGAGAGTCGTATAACCAGGCAATGCAGGTAAGGCACCCCTGACTTGTCACAACAGGTGGCGTTTCTTATGGGGATTGAGGTGGCGTTTCTTATGGGGATTGAGGTGTGGCATTGGCAGTTTTATGGGCTTCGGTGGAGCACCAATTCTTCTTCTCTTGGTGCATGCTGGGTTCCGCGCAAGGGTGTGATGTTCAACATCATGTTCCAGTCCATCACAGAGAGGAACATAGCCATCCAAGTAGCAAGAAGCTATGCCAGCAAACTGAAGGTGGGCATGAAGTACAGCATGATGCATTGACTGGATGCACTATAACGGTACAGTATCACCTAACTCGGGTTGCCTCCTCAGGTTGATGTATCAGGGCCAGAAGGACATTTCCATGGTCATGATGAATGATAGGACTGAAGTGGATGGTGCAGAACTGGGGATGGATGAGTAGCTCAAATATAAAACACTTTGGCGGATGTGAGATGTGAGGCGAAAGGGTAGGCGGGTGGGAAGAACTGGTGGGTTACTATTTCAAGGGGTTGTGAGGCGGTTGTACAAAAATTTTGCACAGGGACACAGTAGGTGATTGTGGGGTTCAGGTACAATGCCAGCAGTAGCATGTAGCAGCAAGCTTGTGTACAATACAATGCAATGTTTTACCCTTCATTTTTTAGTGACAGACTATGCGTACAATGTAAGCACGAAGTTCTGTTACTGTAAAATGGCCGGAGGACAGTTACACAAGATGTGTACCTCCCCTCAATCAGCCACAACGGAGAAATGTTAACTGGTAGTTGCAACGTCTTGGCCACACACACCTCCTGGACTACAACTTCTTGAAAGTCTGATATGTCTCTGCAGCAACAGGTTTGCCAATGCTGGACTTGAGCCAGCACTCATTGCCCCATGTCGTAACAGCAAGCGCACACTGGGTGTTGACTTTGCAGAGCATCAAGCAGTCCAGTGCTTTGACAGGATACTGATACTCCAAAGTTTCGCCAAACGGAAAATTGGTGGCCATGGGTGCAGGAGCAAATCCATGGTCTGTTTCAGGGAACAAGTTGGGGGTGGATGGGTTAGTCAGGGGTGTGAAAGAAAGGTAACGACACACGAATTGACACTAGTGCAGGTTAGTAGCTGTAGAGGCTTACCATGTGGGTTGATACAGCTTGAGCTGTTCTTCCCCTCATTGGCTTGGCAGATGAATGAGCCACAGCCACCATTGTTGAAGGAACACGAGCCAGATTGTGAAGCCAGAACATCCCATAACTGTAAACTTGTATCTAGGTACTCCTCCTCAGAAGTTGTATATACTTCCGGGCTGATGGTCAGATTTGTGCTTGGATCTTCATAACCCTCAGGTATCCAGATTGATTTCTGCTGCTTTTTCCTGTAGTAGGAGGTGGCAAAGCTGCTGACACAGACGCCACTGGAACAGGTTCCTGAGTAGGAATTGCCTCCATTCCCAAAACCAGTGCAGCTTGTTCCATCTGCCTCAACCCCAGCATTGCCACACTTGCCGTTGACGCAGGTTGGTGCAATTGTACATGCCTTCGCACGGATCGCATAACACTTGACACACTTCACTGCACAAGGTTGGAACGAGCACAGGCAGACATCACGTGGATGAAATAATGAGGACCAGAGTGTAATCAACAATAGATGGGAAAGAAACAAAGAGAACAGCGCCGCTCTCACCTTTTCCACATGGCATGTGCCCAAACTGCAGCGTGAAATCAATGACTCCTGTTGGGTCAAGCTTGGCAGCATCCTCCAGATTTATCGTGAAATCCAAAAACCCAGCGTCCCCACCAATCCATTCCCTGTCTTGAGCGCATGTTCTGAAAGCACGTAGTGTGAATTCTTGTATTTTTCCAGTGCTGCCTCCTTGTCCTCTGTTCCAGGATCCACAAATGTAATAGTGCTTCGATCGTCTCCCTGAGCAGGCTTGGCATAGCTTGCTATGAACAGAGCAGTGAGAGTCCGGCTGGCGATGGTTTTCCGGGCAATAGTATCAAAATCCGATCTCTTTTTCAGGTGGGACAGCATTGGTGGGAAGATTTTCTTCCACCACTGTGGCACAAGACAGTGAGGAGGGCAGACCAGGAAAAAAGGGCAGATGAGTTGGAAGGAAGGTTGTTTTAAGAGGTGTATGCTCAGTGGTTGCTGTAAGAACGCACACAGAACTTTGAAAGAAACGGGTGGTGTGGTTTGAATTTGTACGATCACATTAAAATGAAACTAGTATAGGAAAGACATACACAGCAGACAGTTCACACGCTATTGCCTCACCTTTCTCAGCTGCTTCGCCACTTTGAAGGCAGGGTCGATGTACGGGTCGATCGCCGGCAGCTTGACCTTGTACGTCAAAAACGTTACTGCGCTAGCCTGTAACGGGGACGGGAGGCCACACAAAATTTGGTAAATACTTCATACCAGAAGAGGTGGAAAGCACAGGCAGCCTATATCTTGAGATCGTTCACTTACCCAGCAGCATGCGTGCATTGCTCACTGTGATGCTTAGAAACCTCTGGGAAGTTGCTACCCACCTGCCTCCAGAGAGTCATATCCGCAGTTCACCCACTGCCACCAAACGGCGTGATGCTTGGGTTTTTTTTTTTCATAAAGTTGTGAAGGGAGACAGTCTTGAGGCACATCTTGTAGGAGGGAGAGCAGCCATAACCGCTGTTCACCCATTGCCCACCAAATGGCACGATGATTTGAACCTTTTCAGAAGTTGTGACTCACCTGCTTCCAGACCGTTTTTATGCACATTTTGTAGGAGGGGGAGCAGCCATAGCCGCAGTTCACCCATTGCCCTCCAAACGCCGGGCAGCTGCGTATGCACATCTGCAGCCCAGGGTGGGAAGCGGAGGGGGGAACAGGGAAGGGGGGAGGGGGGTGCGGAAGTGGGGTAGGAGAGGGGGGACGGACAGGGGCAGTAGAGTTTGGAGAGCCGAGGGAAGTGCACGCAAGCACATCCGCAGCCCAGGGTGGGGAGGCGGAAAGGGGGAGGGGGGAGGAGGAGGGGGAAGGGGCGGAGGGAGAAAATGTGGGCAGGGGAGAAATGGGCAAGAAGACGGGCAGTGGAGAAAGGGCAGTTGAGGGCGCTTCAAGAAAAAAAATGTGGGGCGAGTGTAGGGCAACAGGACAAGGGGATGTGGGTGTGGAAGAACAGTGGAACATGAGGAAATGGTAAGGGGGTGAATGGGCGATGGGCGACAATAAGCGGCAACGGCCAGCAATGGGCGGTGATGGGAGGCAACGGCCGGCAATGGCCGGTGATGGGCGGCAATGGGCGGCAATGGGCGGCGATGGGCGGCGATGGGAGAAAGGATGGGGGAGGGAAGAAAGAGGGGAAGGGGTGAAGGGAAGGGTGTGGGTGTTTGTGAGAAGGGAAGGAAAGGGGGGGTTTGCGGGGTAATACATTTTAGTCACTCTTTATTTCGCACGATTTTGATTTCCATGAGCTTTCCTCCCCCCTCCCCCTCATCCCCCCAACCCCTCGCCACTTCCCACCTCTCCCCCTTTCCCCTTTCATGTTTCCGCTCGGCAGCAAGCGTAAGTGCGGCATGCGCAAGCGCGGCAAGGGCAAGCGCGACAAGAGCAAGCGCGGCAAGCGCACGTGCAGCAAGCGCAAATGCGGGATGCGCAGGCGCGGCACGCACAAATGCAGCACGTTCGGCTTACCGGTCCGATCCCGCGGAACCTTTTCGCGCATTTTTTGGTGGGCGGCGTGCGCACGTAGGTCTCGCGATAGCAGAACATGTACACGTTGGTGTAGTTAAACTTCAGACTTAAGTCTTCGCGCCGCGCCGGCAAGTGCGCCTCGGGAAATCCGCCATGGTGGCTGGAGGAAGCGTCAGGGAGTAACAGTTGGTTGCGCGCTTCGACGTGGAGGTAAGGAGATGGAGCGGCGCGAGAAGGAGCTGCAAGGAAGCTGAGGCAAGCAAGGGCGGCGATGACGTGGCACGGAAGGGTCCGTTGTCGTCGGTGAAGTGACGACGTTCGAAGATCATAATCGCTGTTCGGGAGGGTCTCTGCCATGCTGAGCTGACTTTTGAGTCGCCTCATAAGCAAACGAATAGAAATACCGACGGAAAACCGCGACAAGAAATGTGGCTAGGCTACTCGTCTTTTGAGGCGCCTCACAAGAAATGTGGCTAAGCTACTCGTCTTCGTTTGACTAGCAAACAGGAGCTTGGAGCTGAACAGATTGCGTTTTGAGACGTCTCAAAACACTACTTCAAACACGTTTAACTAGCATCAGGAGCTTGGAGCCAAACAGGTTGCTACGGAAGGAGGTGGGATTCTAGGCGCGGATATTAGTAGACGCGGAGATTAGTTTTGCTGTACTAGGTAGGTACTGACGTTGCACGGGTAGCAGTACAAGGTACGGCACGTGGTGCGTCAAAGCGCGTAATGCGGGACAAAGTAACGGAACGATGTGTGGTGGAAGAAATGTGAAGGCGAACTTGAGACGGAAATTTCTAGAGGAAAGTAGTGAGGAGAGTTCGAGACTTTAAGGTGGACTCTAAACTGGAAGAAATGTGGTGACGGTCTCAAGAATTCTCTTCAGGCGGGGAGAGGAGAGGAGACTCTTGGTGATGTGGCTGTCTGGGGTCGAACACAATTGGTTGGTTCCAAGCTAGGCCAGATAAATGGCGCGTCAAAACTGCAACGTGAGTGTCATCCACAGAATAGATGGGCAGATTTGTTAAAAGGGTGGGCTTCGGGGGGGCTGTGAGCTGGGTGGGAGAGCTAGGGAGCGGCGGCGGCGGCAGGCTTGATAAAGACCGTCGCCCTCTACTAGGAACCTGGTCGAAGAAAAGCAGAGTGGGGGGTTTAGTGCCCGCCTCGTCATTTGCAGGGTCGATTTGTGCGGTTCAGTGGGTTTTGCATGCTTTACAGAGCGGCTGAGTAAGTTTTTGAACGATTATAAACTTTTGAAACAACTTGGTGAATGGGTGGACTGCACCTGGGCTCCACTAACTTCAAGCCCGGAAAAATGTTTTCAGAGTCACCCTAGACCAGATTCAGCCGTATCTTTCAGACACCCAGAATCAAAACGATATTGAGGACGCTCTCCTCAACGTTTGTTTAAAACAATAAGTCCCTCAGTGGATCAGGCTTACAACCCACTCTGACGGGAAAATTTTCTAGTTGCGACCTTCGTTGCGTCATCGCCCTCACAAGGAGTCCGAAACCTACCTACTTCAAAATATGTTTCACTCTGACATAATAAGGGTAGCTACCCGCGAGCGCCCAATTTCGGGCCTTGAAATTAGTGGAGCCCAGGTGTAGTTTACAGGGTGGTTGGTTCGGGGAAGTAGGCAAGGGCATGCAAGAAACAGATGCTGTTCTGGGCCGAGCCGCAAATGTTCTATTAGGGGAACGGGCAGATACAT